TCTTCTTCTTCTAAGGATTCTTCCTCCAACTTAATTGAATCTTAAGTCAGATGAAGGCTTCTAACTTGAGCCAAAATGAAAGGTGGGGTATGATTTAAAACAACAACAACAACTAACTTGCTCAGTGGAGTAGTAGGATCCACCTCACTATGATACAACTATAAAGAATCAAATTAGGACTGTGCATTTGATGCTCACTGGCTATGCAATTTAATGTTAGTTTTTGGGGAAAACAGAAAAATAAACAAAGATACACTTACGGTAGCAAATATGATCATGTATGTCTAGAAAAGTACCTAAACCCTAAAACCTGTGACATTGCTTTTTTCATCTCCTTGTTTCTTATACTGTAAATCACTGGATTCAACATAGGTGGAACCAGAGAATAGATCACAGTAAATAACAAATCCTGCCATGATGGGGTGTTAGACATGGGCTTCAGGTAGGCAACACATCCAGTAAATAGAAATGTGGAACAAACAATGAGGTGGGGGATGCAAGTGGAGAAAGCCTTCTGCCTCCCCTTTGCAGAAGGCAATCTCAACACCATGATGAAAATCTGCACGTAAGTAACAAGGATATAGACAAAACAGCCCAGCGCAAGGACAGCCCCAATCCCAATAGTAGTCATTACAATTAGATTTAGTTCAGAACATACTAATTTTATTAGCTGCGGGACTTCACAAAAAAATTGATTGACAGTGTTAGAGCAGAAATGGATTGCAAAAGTCCCACTGGTGTTCAATGTGGCATACAGAAAACTAGCAATCCATACACCAACCAGCATTTCACTGCAGGCCTGCCAATTAATTAACATTTCATAACGTAATGGATTGCAAATGGCCACATACCGGTCATATGCCATGACTGTCAGGATGCAGAAATCAGATGTTATAAAGAACATAAAAAAGAAGAGTTGAGCAACACACCCTGGATATGAAATGTGCCTGATATTCAGGAGGGAATTGATCATGGATTTGGGAACAATGACTGAAACTTGGCCAAGGTCTTGTATGGCCAAGTTCATCAGAAAGAAGTACATGGGGGTGTGCAGGTGATGGTCTAAGGTGACTGAAGAGATGATGAGGAGGTTCCCTGTGACAGTTGCCAAGTACACCATGAGAAATAGAGTGAAGTGTAGCAACTGCAGTTCCCGAACTTCTGAGAATTCCAGGAGCAGAAAATCAGACACGGCAGTTTTGTTGAACATTTTTTCATTACCATGCGGTATAATCCTTGGAAAAGGAAACATAAGCAAACAGTAAGAATTATAATATCTTATAGTAGTAATTTTAACTGCTTCAACTGAATTGGATGACAATGGTCACATTTCTATTTTCCACACTCAGTTCTTGTCTCCAGTGTGAAAAAAGACATTGTAGCTCAGTAACACTGAAGTCAAAAGCAGGAATCCCTCTCTGGCTGCTCTTGTTTTGGTTATAATTGCAGAAGAATTGTGTGAGGAAGCTTCTCTCTTCGGAAATTAATAGTCATCTCATGTACTTTACCTGATTTCCTCATCTGAGTGGTCTGAATGAAGTTCTTTGATTGCTGTGAGAGATGTGATTAAAAAGATTAAAAGTATGCTTTGAGACTTTAAGCAAGCGAGTTTCTTTGGAACATTAGAGTAATAGGGTTGCCCACTGTGGGCTGGAAAATTTCTTTAGATTTGGTTGTGCAGGTGAAATCCTACAGTGAATCCCCCTTTTAGGGGTATTTTGATCTACAAATGATTTATAGACAATTGTTTGTCACATTTCAAAGAGGGGGAAAATTAGAGGAGTTTGTACAATGGGCTAACAGCAGGCATGCAAATATCAGATTCGAGGCACAACAAGATAACGAATCTGTGTCCTTTTTAGATGCTGTGATATTTAGAACTAGGCATAATACTCAGAACATTTATCTACACTATCAGTCATGCCATCTACTGCACCTTTTTACACATCAAAAGGAGCAGTACATCTGATAGGGATTACAGCAGGGAAAGATTTTGATCCATCAATTTGAGGAATGTGGATATCCTCACCATGCCATCCAGAGGGCAATAGATCATGCTGCAAACATCAACAGAAAGAATTTATTTGGAGTCAAGATGAAACATACACCAACTTGTATTACATGTGCATTCCAATATTCATTTAGATCTTATTCTATCAAGAAGGTTGTAGAAAAGCATTGTCATGTGGTGGGAGAAATTCCTGGGTGTCAACTGTTTACACAAATTGGCTTTTAAAAAAACTAGGAATTTAAAGGACTATTTAATTAAATTGGATCTTATGACACAGCCTCAATCTTTATCTGGACTTAGAGGTCACCATCATTTTGAGTCCTGTTGTGCATGCGGGTTGGGTCTTGAAATTCAGTCACTCATATATGCACAAAATGACTCCAAAATTAAGTTAGCTACTTTTAGTTATTGTAATACAAGGAGATCTGTTTATGTTGTGATCTCTCCTTGGACTGTAGGAAGACATGGACTGACATTAGTGTATTTACTGGACTACTTGGGGCACACAATTTGTGAGGACAGTGCATAAACACATCCCCTGTAGGGTCCAGGTATATGGCAATGTTCAGCAAAATGAAGTCTGTGGATTCTTTTTAAGCAACATCTATTTCCCTTTTGTATACAACAGTTGTGTTCGAATGGAAATTGTAACAATTGTAGCACTGGGGCTTATGCCATATTTGTTGAAATAATTATAGTACACTTCATACATATTTTATTGGATTACTGTATTTGAATTGTGCTGATGTACACTAAAGCACTAAAATAGGGGTGCTAACATAAAACAAAAATGCTGCTCTGTGCTTCTCTTGCTAAGGGGCTAAGACCATATTTCTAAGCACTTCTATATATTTACTCAGAAATAGGTACCACTGTGCTCAACGGAAGTTGTGTATTTAAGAGTGAAGTTATTGTGAATTTTTAATTATTCGTATTATTATTCTTTAGAATCAAATATGTGTCACATCAACTGAATGACCTTTCATCTTAGCCTCTGGTTTCTGTAGATCATTAAAATGCTCATAAATCATTGAAACAGTTCAACAACAGTGCTTTTTAAAATGAAAAAGGGTTTACAGATCTACAACAGGCTGTCCATACAGTTTTGTACAGTAGCAAAAGGTGTGGAATTGGGTTTTAGAAAATCCTGGATTAAATCCTTGGTTAGCTTCAAAGTTCACTTGGTAATCCTGGTCAATTTATCATGTCTCAGTTTAGATTACTTTACAGGACTGGTCTACAGGTAAAAATTAACTTTGCCTTATAACATTGTTCTTTAGAACATTGTGCTTTCCCCATCCATTTTATCCTCAGAACAACAAGCCTGTAAGGTACCTTAGGCTGAGTGAGTGGCCCAAGGTCACCCGGTGAGCTTCTGTGGCTGAGGGAGATTCAAATGCGATTCTTTGAATCCTAATACAACACTACACCATGCTGGCTCCTTTCCTGGACTATTTCATTTTAGGGTGTGTGAAGGAATAAGGCTCCTTCTGCATGTGTGACATGATCATGTTGCAGAGCAGAAAGCATATACATGGGAACTGAAGACAATAGACGACACTTATGACTCTGAAAGTGGTTCCCAATCTGTGAGCTGTCTCTCATGGACATCTACCTTAATCTTCCGCATTTCCATTTTTGAATCTGTGAGCTTTTCATTGCCATGCTACCAACATTTAGATTTATGTCAATGTGTTTGCATTAATTCAGTTACAGGGAAGACTGTGGAACTGAGAAATAGTATTCTGAGAGGCAAATAAAGAGTAATAAAATAATAAAGGGGGGGGGGGTTTGGAAACCTGCTCAGGATATCGGTAGAGTAGACCTAAACATAGTCTGAGAGGCAAATTAAAAATACAAAAACAATAAAGTTTGTGTGTGGGGGGGACCTGCTCGGGGTATCTGTAGAGTAAACCGAAACATAACTTACCACTTTTCTTCATGTTGTCTTGAATCTTCAGGTGCAGGTTTCTTTGTGCTTCTCTGAAGTCACCCATTTCACCCTATTCTTTATAAACTAACCGTTCAGATGCTGACAGCACTGTGGGAAAAGGTATTCCCAAGCTCTGCAGAGTAGTCCAAGAGATTTGCTCTCAGGAGTATAACACAACAAAACTGAAAAACTGTCCCCCCCCCCACTCAAAAAGTTTGCTGTCTAGTGTAACTGATGTTAAATATGCCTACAACTGCCTCTTTCCGTTTATGCTGATTAGGAATTCCTATAGTCTAGTGAATAGGGGAATTAATATGCCTGTGATAGATGGAGATACTAGTTCTATACATACCATGTAACTATGTGCACAGTAAATGCATGTACTAGGGAACACAGCCAAGATTTGCTGACCCTGGTCTCTCTTATACACATAGTCACAGCGACTGCATGCATACAGGGTATGTGCATCTTGTCTTCATGAGACCATCCATGAGTGGGGACAAGGCCAGTGGCCTCAGTACAGGGCTGCAGTCAGCATACCCTGAGGTGGGGCAGCTGCTGAGGCTTAGGGCTTCTGGTGAGGCCCACTGTGGCTGCCCCCCCTCGCCATATGCCCTTCCCTGCCATATTGACTTGCAAGTGCTCCACCACCCACACTTCCAGCTTCCAGGAATTCATAGAGATGTACATGTGGGTAGTTCAGAATGGCAGCACTCTTGGATGCCTCATCAGCCACAAAATTTTGCTTTTCTTGAAAACGTGGATTTATTCTCGATGCTTGGGGATCCAACATATTGTTAGAACTCTCTTTCTCCTATCGTTCCGAATCTGGCAAGATCATGAGCGGAACTGAGGGAAACCTACTTAACACGGAGGGGGACTCAGGATCGGTCCCACATACCTCCGCTCCTTTGGTGTTCACGACTGCAGCCTCGGTGGAGGGTGCCGTGGGGGGAACGATTCCCCGCCTGCCTGCACATCTGTCTTGGCCGCCTCCGACCCCTTCGCACTGGGGTCCGCGGAAGACTCAACAGCAGGATGACTGGACTATGTACAACACTCAGGGCACCCGAGAGGTGTACTCCCGTCGGGGGAGCGGATTACGTGAGAGTCTGTTTGACAAGGGATTGTTCCCGGAGCCGGGGACTACCTCGGAGAAGGGGAGTTCCAAGCAAGACCTCGAGGAGTGGATGTTCGAGCCATCGGGGCCGCGAGGCCACGCAGAGGATGAGGAGGGCACCGGAGCCTTCCAAACGGAAGAGGACTATGACCCACCCCCGGACTATCGACCTCGGGACCCCATCCCGGAGGAAACCACCGGGGAACGACTGGCAGAACTGGAATACTCGGTGAGGGACTTGTTGAGGACATTCCAGGATGTAATGGAAGCTCTGCCGGGAATGATGGACGTTAGAATGGCTAATTTCCTTGACGCACACGCCGCGCAGCAACAAGTTGTCCCTGCACCGGGAGTTCCCGCACCGCAGGTGCCTGCTCAGCCGCCGACGGGACCTCCGCTGCAAGTACCGGGAGTTCCCGCGCCGCAGGTGCCTGTCCAGCCGCCGGCGGGACCGCCTCAGCAAGGGCCTGTGCAACAGCCGATGCCGGGGGGTCCGCCGGTGCCGGGTCTGCCGCCACCGATGAGGCCAATGCCAGCGGGGCCACCGGTTGGTCCGGGTCTCCCTCTCAGGGGAGTTCCGGGTCAGCTGGGACCGTTGGTACGGCCTCCATGGCCCAGACCCAAAGATCTACTGGAGGCTACCTTTGACGGCAACCCAGATGAACTCGCTTTCTTCACGGTGAGAGTGCATAAATTCGTAGAAGAGAGCCGACACCTGTTCCGAAATGAAGCTGGTCTTATTGATGTCATCTCGGCAAGACTAAAAGGAGACGCCGCCACATGGTATGTTGGACTGCACAATGACCGCGGTCCGGAACTTTTGAATTTGCGAGCATTCATGTGGGCGCTGCGGGCGAGGTTTGAAGATGTCAACGCGAGCCAAAGAGCTAAAGCGTTTCTCCGCACCTACCGCCAGAATAAGAAGTCGGTTCGCGAGTACACACTGGAATTCCACAAGCAGGCAGCAAAGCTCCGAGACTACCCTGATCATATATTGGCTGAGATGTATCGATTGGGACTCAACGCAGACATCCGAGAAACGGTTCTGAAGACTGTCAATCCTGTCTCCCTGATGGCCTGGACCCAGGAAGCTGAAAATGCAGAGGATCGGCTCACCACCATCAAACTCGACTTGGCTGCTACGAC